ATGCGTATGTGTACGTGAGGGAGCTCGTTCTCATATGCGACTCCCTTACTTATCTTGGGATATCCGTATGCAGATAGTGTAATAACAACGACGACGACGACACAACACAAACGTCGATTGGCGACGACGACGGTGGTCACACACAATGTGTAAAGGCTCGTTTACAATGCGTAGAATAAGCTTAACGTATGAAATAAGAATAGGAGTAAAAATAAAACTAATTTATTTTACTTATACACAAAAAAAGTCTTGCTAACAAATGCATATAATTGAGCATTTATTAATTTATTTAATATATGTAATTAGTATCAAATATAATAATAGTTATCAACCATCTGATAATAATTACAAAATGATTAGTAAAATAAATTCTTTATTTAGTTGAGCCAAGCAAATGTTGAATATCAAATTTGGTAATAATTACTAAATAGTGCGATTATTGCCAAAATATCTGGTCACACTCCATATATTTATCACATAATATAATAAGTATTACTAAACAATATGGTTTTATTTAACAAATTGTTTTATGATACGAATCATATAAATGAATAACAGTCACCAAGTCTTAGCAATAGATACCAAGCTTTGGCAACAGACATTACCAGTCTTGCTAAGATTATTTGTTAACGTTTTAATTATTCAATTTAAATTTTTTTGATTATATTTACTAGTAGAAACTATTTCACTAAAGCATCTGGTAACTAAACTATTACCCAGGCTTGATGGCTATTATCAAATCTTTTTTTCGATATACACGCAAAAAAATGACTTAGTAATATCAGCTAAAATAGCTGATTGAAACTTAGTCAAAAGGCTAATCGTTGAGCTGTCACTGCTAAGAATTGGCTATGACAGCTAAAATGCTATGAAATATAAATATATTAGATGATATTAAAAATGCACATTATTTCAAGTAATTAAGAAAATAACAGTTATTCCTAAATTTCTTATCGTATATGCATATATTAAAGAAGTTTGCCGCACAGCTACAATCATTTGTTATAGTCATTTGTTTCTAGCAGCTAATATTTCTCGCTGTAGCGCCTAAGTTTAAACAGCGAATAAATTTAGCTAGTATCACTAGACATTAGCTATCCCTATTTCAGTGACACATCTTATCTGCCGCGGCTATTTTTTACGGCTCTGGAAGCTAGTTTTTTTTTGCGTGTATACATATACATCTAAACTTTTGCTCCATTACGCCGGAAGTATTTATTTGACAGAAAGGCTTTCGACGTAAGGGAGCTGGAGTACAGGCGTAAGCGGAATAAATTATTTTTATGTCTCACTCCTACTCTTACTCCAAGCTCACTCCACTTACCCCTTGTCCACAACATTGCTTTAATTCTTACGTCGCAAAAAATTGACCAACCACAGTTGATTATTTTTAAAATAATCGACTGTGGTTGGTCAATTTATTACGCCTTAAAGATTAAAGCAAGGTTGTGGACAAGGAGGCATTGTAGACGGTCACTAACGGCGATTCGCTCGAGTACTGACAATAGCAATACGCGAGCGCGCATCGTCGAGTCGGTTCGGAGCGACGCGAGAACGGAATCGTACACCGGAAGTTGTTTTATGCTAATGCAGCGATATCTACCATACGCACCGCGCGCGTTCCGTATGTGTGTACACACGCCGAGTTGCCGAGAGTGCGTTTACCGTTTCAGCGCGACAACGACGTGACGCGCGACCGACGACCGGGAGCAAGCTTTTGTCATTGCAACGCGTGCGTGCGTGCGTGTCTGTGTGTTTGTGTGTCAGTGCGACGACAGTTTGTCGGCGACGGGCAAATGCGAGTTCAACCGGATAGAGCATTCTCCGTTTATTACCGCCGAATGCATTAAATCGCGACGTCGCGGGTCAAGCACACGCGATTGACGTCAGAGCGCGGCGGCTCGCCTCCTTTCGGCTCCTCGTAGGTGCACCGACACCGAGATACTCGCACGGAGATGACTATTACACGTGACCGTGCTGTTGTGTAATCCGCGCCGTGGGTGTTTTGTTAATGATTTGTCGGTTGGCTCAGAGGATTCGTCGCGTGTGTCGCGAATTGAGTATTCGAATTTCAATGACGATTTTGACGAATAAAATGAGCAACTCATTATTTTTGCGGGCATTCTGTAAGGATTTCCTGTTTTCCTTTTGATGTCCAAACTTCCCGCGAGATTTGATAGAAGAGTGGCAAGTCCTTTGCACCGACCTTATAATATTCAGACGATAGTCAAATAAAATTAAAAGAAATAGAATTATCCAATCTCGAAAAATCAATAATTTTGACGAATAAAATTAACAACATGACTCGATATTTTTGTCGATAACTAATGGAGACTTTTCGTTTCCCTTTTGATATCTAAACTTCTGAAATTTGAAGATAGAAGAATGATAAACTCTTTGCACCAACTTTAATATTTAAACAATTTTAATCGAGGATCTCTCTTCCACTAGAATGAACTCGAACGAGAGAGTTATCTCTATGTAAATTTAATTGTTTCCAAATGACAAGAACGTCAAGACGATAAAAATACTCAAATTACGAATAGTCGAGAATAAGAGAAGCTCAATGAAGTCTCGAGAAAAATATTCTGGCGATTTACTTTTACCTGTCTGTCACAGATAAAGATAACATTGGCAAAATGGCGAAATTGTCGAGTGCGATAACATTTCGATATCTGTGCTAAGAGAGGAAAGATCCTGAGATCATGACGAGTCCATTGAACAAATTCGACACAATGGAATATCCGCGTGAATAAACCAAAACGATCCCGAATTACGTCACTATTCTATTTAATGACAACTATTTACTATTCGCAGAGTGATCTACTCGATTCAGTTCGATCCATTCGAGCGCGGTGTTTGCTATCGGAGTCCAATTTAGCTCGTTTAGAACGTTGCTTCTATTCTAGATACCGTTCTCTATCGCTGCGCTTCCTGTACGCCCCCTCTTTTTCTCTCACACACACACACACACACACACGCGCGCGCGCGCGCGCGCTTTTTCTCCCTTTTCATTCGGCTCCGCCGAACTTTGGGCGCGAACGTACCTGTCTTATTTTTAACGCGGGACGCGTGGCGTAGGTCTGACTGAAAGAAACCGAGTCCCGTGTTTTCGAGACGGGATAAATTCTCTTTCTTGCGAGCGCGAGCGCGAATTCTCGACGCGCTACCACCTTGCGCGCCGCACGTGCAGGCGAACGCGCCGCCCGGCTTCCGGTCGATAAAACGCATTCTCTATAGAGCCCACATTTGCACACGAGCCGACGCGTCCCGCTTTTCGGTGCACGATAATAATGTCAATATCAACGATAGACGTCCGGTGTCGTCTCTCTCGCTCTCTCGTCCGCTCGTTCATTCGCTGACGCGGCGCTCTCTTTTGCTCTGTCTCTCTCTCTCTCTCTACACTCCTCATATCTTCACTGTGCCCCTCTCCCTCTTCTCTTCTCTTTCATACACGATTTTAGGTTAGGTGTGCGCACGTGCGAGCTATACTTTACGCGCCTTTATCATTCGTTTTTACGCATACACGCTGTCCGAGGAGTACCACGGCTACGTGGGCGGACAGGTGTCCTGCGGACATGTCTGTCGGAAATGGGATGCCGAGAAAAGGGGAGAAAAAATAAGAACAAGTAGAGAAGTGCGAAGAGAAAAAAAAAAGAGGGTGAGAGGGGACTCAGCGCGCGATAATATACGTGTAATAATATAATATTTTCTTTTTTCATTGGTGAATATATTTACTTGGCGCGAGATATCGCGGCGCTTCCGCTCCTGATCGGTCGCTGTTACGAAAGTGTAGTGCAGTCGTAGTTAGTGTCGTCATCGTCGTCGACGTCGTCGTCCCGTCAATAAATTTGTCATAATGGAGTACACAGGATGTGTGTATCAGAAAACCTGCCCACACGTAATATAACGCGTCAGAATTAGATCTGTTCTATCGAGTCAAGTGAAATTAAATCTATGTTTCTCTCGAGCTTGAAAGTTACGCGGAAGCGTCCAAGCGGAAGTGAATCTCGGTCTTCGTAACTTTTAAAGCTGTAAGTCGATGAACCACTGCGGCTACTACCATCTTCGAAGTTCGGCAGGAGATGTGACGAAGTCACGAACAATTTTATCCTACGATCTTTAAATTTACATGAAAATTGACAATGCTTATAAGATATTAAGACGGAAGTTCGTATCCGCGACGAGACCCCGACGCCAGATTTTCCAGGAAACCTGGTAATTTCAGAATTCCCACGAAAGCCAATAGACATTTCTTCAAGTCTGATGTAACTTGTGAATGAATTTAGTGGAAGCTTTTAGGTTTCTCGGAGTCGGACGTTACATGAAAGACGATAATGTTCGTGAAATTAGGATGAAAGAATGATATTTAAATTCTAATCCAGAGATATTGGAATTTTTTTTAACTTTGATCAGTGTAATCACGGATTTTTTTATTCTAAAGCTTGCATTATAATGCGCTCTTTGCTTCCTGTTGCTTATTCTCTATCTTTTGCTGGTTTAAGTCGGAAAGAGATAAGAAGAATGAAATAAAGAAGTAAAGAGTACATTGTAGATCTGGACTAAGAACTAACTAGTACGAGCATTTACAATATTTTCAATTTAAAGAATATCACAGAGAGATGAAGTTGTCAATGATACACGTTAGTCATCGAAGACCATTCATCAATCCCGTGTTGACAAGATTCTCATAAGATTCATATGATTCCTCCGCGAAGTAAACAATTCTTTCAGCTGTGTTTTTCATCATTTTTCGCGTCGTTTCTTTCACAAGCTTTATTCGAGGACCGTCTGACGATCTCGAGCGCCAGAATGCTCGATTGCCAAAACATTGGGTGACTAACAGAAAAAGTCGCAAAATCTTCCGTGAAAAGCACAACGGAAGCTTTCAAAATACGAACATTAGGTATCGTAAAAAGACATCACCTCCCGATATGTGACGATATGTAGCAGAAGCGAGACATACACACACATATACACACTCACGCACACTCACTCACCTGTTCCCGAAGCGCTCCTTCCAGAATTCAGCTGCATCGGCCTTGGTGATGCGAAACTGATCGCCGGCAAATATCCCGTTCGGGAATATGGCCTTCAGCTCGGACAGCATGTGGCTGAACACTAGACTGAGCTTGGTGAGATTGCGGCGATAATGAGACGTCTCGTCGAACATCTTATCCTTGCCCTCCTTGAACAGCTTGATCGCTTGCTTGCACTTACGCATCAGGTTGTTGATGAACACGCAGAAGTGCTCGTTACTGTGCAGCACCTGCATCCGGTCCTCGTACTTGCTGTAGATCAGCCTCAGCCGCTGATACGTGTCCGGCAGGATGTCGAGGATGAACGGCGGTGAGTTCTTCAAGTTCATGCGCTGGTGCTGGCACAACTTCACCACTTTGTCCATCAACTTCCAGGTCTTGTCCAACATACGCTTGTCGGTCGACAGTTTCGGCGGGGTCATCGCGTCGGCGAAGCGACCGTGCAGCTTCTGGAAGATCGAGCCGATGTGGACGGCGCGGGTGCGACTGCTGTGTCCCGACGACGACATCTTGACGTACCGTGCGTGCTCGCTCGCTCGCTCGCTCGCTTGCTCGTTCACTCGCTTGCGTGCGTGCGTACGTACGTAATACGTGATCTCTTCCTCGTTTTGTTCTTCCTACGTGTGCACTCTCTCTCTCTCTCTCTTTCTCTCCCTAGCTCTTTCTCTCTCTCGCTTACTCGCTCTCTCTTTCTCTCTTTCTTGATTTGCACCTCACCTTACCTGGGGCGCGCGCAAAGAACACTCTGTCGCTATACTTAAGGTTAACCCGCACACACACTCGAGCGATAGATCGGTACACCGCGCATAATCTCAGCGGGACGCGGCCGCGGCCACGACAACGTACCCACGAAGCCGCGGACACGGGGTGTAGCACCGGAACCGTGCGCGATACCGCATCCTATTATCTCACTAGGCGACGGCCGACAAACAGCCCAGCCGGATGCTCCGCGACTCACGGCGAATCGACGACACTGACACGAACCGTGCGAGTGGTGTCGAGCACGAGCGTGCCGCCGTGGTGGCTGCTCGCTCGCTCGCTGTGTTCAGTTGCGAGCACCCGCCGCCGTGGCGTCGTACGTCGCACGCGCGACGGTAATGGCGCGCGTGCGCACGACTGGCCGGCGCGCAATTCAAATGTGGCGCGTTCGATGAAAGAAATCACCCTGCTCGGTTGTGTCTAAAATAATTTATCCCTTTTATGCTCGTTTCTATCAACTTCGGTTAACTTAACGGCTAGTTATTCCAACGGAATTGACCAATCACACTTGTCAATTCTGATTAACAAGAAATGCGATTGATCAATACCGTTAAAATAACCAGCCGGTTAACTCCTAGCGAGAAATGATTCGTTGATCGATGTCAAAACGATGTCGAATTGACATCGAAATCGTGAAATCGACGTCGATTCGCCATCGTTTCGACATTGATCAACGAATTATTTCTGGTTGGGCCAAAGTTGGTAAAAACGGGCATTAGACCAAATTCCACAACCTCCAATTAACTTAACTGGCTGGTTATTCCATTGGCCTTGACCAATTGCATTTGACATTAAGAAGAGTTAATCAGGATTAACCAATTACTATTGGAACTTAACCGGTAGTTAAAATTAAACGGATGTTTAACTGGAACTTGGCCTTACATCGTTCGAGTTAATTATCGATGTGAAGTGCGGACTTAAGCCAAGTTCCACAACATCCATTTAATTTTAACTACCAGTTAAATCCCATTAGTGATTGATTAATTGTGATTAACTCTTCTTAATGTCAAGTTCGATTGGTGAAATCCATTGGAATAACTAGTTAGTTAAGTTAACTGGAGGTTGTGAAACTGGCCTTTAGAGATCGTAAGCAGAATATATATGTTTAAATAAAAAATAGTATATACCTATACAGCACCAAATGTCTGAAATATATCCCAGAGACGTTCTAGAGATAATGGGATGTCTCTCTGGGATGTCTCTGGGATGTATTTTAGACATTTGTGCTGTATGGGTAGAAATTATATCTTATACTCAACTTGCGCTATAAAGTTACGAATTCAAAAACTAATTGATGTAGTTGCCGTCAATTAATATATACATATATAGCCTATGGTAGAGTAAAAATTATTCTAAATTGTAAGAAACGAGAGAGGGTGGGTAAGTTTGTGTCATGCAAAGTCGCAAAATAAAACAGAAAGTATTTATTTCACGTTTCATAGTGTGTGTGTGTGTGTGTGTGTGTGTGTGTGTGTGTGTATGAGTTGAAATTGTACACATGAGACTTTTACAATAAATAATGATTAAAAATGAAACAGTGTTTACATGACGAGAAATGTTCAAAGTATTGAACTGAAATATATCCTTTTAATACCATTATTTCGGAAAAGTTAGATAAAATTATCCAGATAAATATGTATACAACACGACGTTTTTAATATCTTTTAACTTGCAAATCAATAGCCAATAATATACGACTACGTTCGTCTTCGACTACGATTGCTGAAGATAATATCAATAAAACACGCTAAAATGTGCGAAGTATGTTTAAGCTGATATCATTTTTTTTATCTCTGGGTACTTTTTTGTAATACTTGTTACCCTTCAAGGCTCTCGTCTCGTTGTACGTGAGCTGGTTTTATAAGACATTTTGCTAAGTTTTCTTCAGGTTTTAAGAACTACCTTCCATCTACAACAACCTGCGTTTCGATAATGTGAACTTGGTGTCACCGATTTGCCATGTAATAACTTAACCGTAATAAAATGAAGCTCGACATTAGGAACCAACTGGCAGGAATGGACGCCAGCATACAGTACCGTTCATCTGAAACATCAAACGATAAAAACGTGTAAATATTGCGTATCAGGTTGCGCAACAAGAGTTATGAAGTAAAACTAGGAGGCGATGAGAGTGACATGCATAATGATGAAAAATGTATTGGACGAATACGATACTATCAATGTGCAATGTGTATACTTGGCAAATGCGATTATTCAGGTACGAAATATTAATTCTGTAAATTTGTAAAAGAATAATGTGAAAGAAGTTACAAAAATATTGAACTCGGCCTTTCTGATAACGTATGATGTAATTTTTATCTGTAGATTGATATAATTAAAATACTGTACATACGTGAAACTTACTTATGCGGATTCTTCTGGATATTTTTTTAAATTTTTAATTGCAAAATAGCATCTATACATATATAAAAGTAAACACATGCTTTTATAATAACATTTTAAACATGAACAACCCAGATCACATTGAAATATAGGTGAGGGGAGGAATATAAATAAATTTTTATTTATAGGTTATAAGACACATAATCAGATAAACATAGAGATCACAGGAAAGAAACCATAAAGAAATTGTAAATTGCCAAAAAGAAAACCAAAAAGAAATAAAGTACCACACCAGGAAGTATTTACAAAATACTAACACATAATACAATAGATGTGGAAGTTGTTAACAACAAAAAAAGAAAGTTGTCTTGAGCATAACTCCTTTCTATTTACCCTGAAGTTTGCCTTTAGTAAATTCTATATTTACTTTTCATATCAATTGTAAGCATATTCTAACTATTTTACACACACAACGCACACACACACATATGTACAAATAAATTATAAGTACACATATTACTTTATTTACAAACACATAAACGAATATATTTACACAGTGGCACATCAGGTATTTCAGGCTTCAATTGTTCGATAGTTTTAAATTTACCTGTCATTTGGTCGGACATCTTTACTGCTGCCCAACCGAGACTTCTTTCCACAGCCATTTTCCATTTCTTATACCTCGCGTCCCTCTCTACAAGATAAAAAGATCATGCTACAAACGTCGCTCGAATTTACAGAAAAATAAAGCATAAAGATTTAAGCCGCTCTTAAAGGTTATTAATGAGACACGACGTGTCGTTTTGAACAATGTAGAAAACTGCTTGCACATAGTTACGCGACTTGCAAATTATTTTTACTTTGGAAACTTGTCGTTTCCTAAATGAATGACTTGTTTATACCTTCCGGTGTGGTGGTCGGTAGGAAAGTATCAGTTGGCACTGTTTCTACATCCTCGCCTTCTAGTTCCCAAACATCTATTCCTTCGGCATGTCCCGCAGCCATCGCTACACCTAACGCCGTGATGTCGGGCATAGTTGATCTAACTGCGCATTCGTTTAAATTCAAGTTCGATAATAATAATTTCCAGAAACGTAACATAAACTCGTATGAAATAGTGCTACATTAGATGTTTCATCTTTCTTGTAAATCTGAAATATATTTCCAACACATCTAGCATACTTACATACTGGTGCACCGCATAAATCAGCCTGCAATTGCATAAGGAGATTATTAGTCGACATTTTTCCGTCTGTATTTAATTTCGTTAACGGAAATCCACAATCTTTGTACATAGCTTCGAGAATATCCCTGGTTTGAAAACAGACCGCTTCTAGAGACGCCCTAATAATGTGCTGTTTTGTAGTAAATGCGGTGAGTCCACAAATTATCCTGGGAAGGAAGGATTATAAAATGTTTTGTGAATCTTACATATCTATATCATCAATGTATTACATTCTGCCATCAAATAAAACATTTTTTCAATGCGTAAATTAAATTAAATGTTCCTGAAGATAAGAAAGAGTGCGTGCTTATATATAGCTATTTGGATATCAAGCTATTACGAAGTTACTAACCCCCTCGCATCCTTTCTCCAGTAAGGTGCGTATAATCCCGTGAAAGCTGGCACGAAATAAACGTCCCCGGTACTGAAAACACTTTGCGCTAAATGTTCACTTTCGTGCACATCTTTGATGAGCTTCATGTTGTCCCGTAACCACTTGATGGCGGCACCCGCAACCGCGATTGAACCTTCCAAGGCATAAACAGCTGGGCTGTTCGGACCTAACTGATACGCGACGGTCGTAACTAATCCGTGAGAAGAATATACTCTCTGAAAAAAGGTATTAATCAGATTATCTGAAAAAAATATGCTAATACAATATTATTTTATTTCTTATACACCGAATAAGCAAAATGTTAACAGTTTGCCGGCAGATTGGCAGCAGATTCAACCAAACTACTGTAGCAAATTCATAGTCATCTGTGTCCGCATTAAGCTCGTGTTCTGTCGACAAAATCTACTGACATAATTTGATAACGGATTGACGACAGGAAGACTAAACAAGATTTGCAATATATTCTATTTAAATACATTTAAATGGTTACGAAACGACAGACCTTGCTCTGTTTCTGCCGTTCATCCGTCATTATATTTCACTAGCCGATCCTGTTGTATTTCTGCTGACAAACTGCCGACAAAATTTACAATGGCAGACATGGATATCTGGATACATTCGTATAAAAACAATATATATATAAATTGCACAATTACAGTATGGCCGGTATTACAAAGCAGGAAGCAACCACTCCTGTACGTATTTTTCGCTTGTCCTTTCTTCAAGCAATTCTGCCCAACCAAAGCCGATTGTTGATTTCCTAGAATCTAAAAGAGAGAGAGAAAAATGCCATTAGAAACGTGCATTATTTTTTTCATCATCATCGAAAATACGGATTCTTACGTACACCGGATATAGGAATGCCGGCCAACGGACCGTACGAGATTTTGCCGTATATCTCAGAGCTGCTTCTGATCTCCGGCAGTATCTGCATAGGAATGTCGAAATATCTGCATAATGTGGGATCCCAAGCGAGGGTTTCTATATTCATTAACATCGTCCTCGACGCGTTCGTTACATCGGTGATGTACAGTCCACCGTCCTTACCTCCCGTTAAATTCTGCAATGAATTATCAATTATAATTTTGTCGTTTGCATTTGTCGGTTGCTCTTGCATTGTAAGACGCAGGATTTGCCTTTCGTTATAGAGATACGCATCAAAGGATAAACCGATAACCGACATGTGCACACTGATTTTGCAACTCGGGTATTAACTCGAGTATCAAATAATTCCCGCTCGTAATACATACCAGACTCGTGATACTCTCATTCGCACTTAGATTATAACGAACACGTTATTAAACATGCGAAGAATTAATCAGACAATCAGCGGTTGTTACTTAAACGATATTAATTAACACGCTAATTAAGTCTACTCAAGCGACACGTTAATCCCTACTGATACACCGAGCTTGCAAGAGCAATAGAGAAAGCCAGCGGTTTACACCTCGCTGCCTTTCTCTGTAATGTTTCTGTCGCTCACCCAAATCACCCACGTATCCACGGTCCCAACTTTACATCGTTTCTCGCGCATCGCCTTCCTCACCGCCGGTACGTGTTCCTTCAGCCAACGAATCTTCAAAGCAGAGAAATACGGGCTCACAGGCAAACCGCATAGGGGTTTCAGGTGATTCTTGCTCTTGTCCGGGAACTTTGCTATGATTTGGTCTACGATCGAGTCGGTCCTGATGTCAGACCACACTGAAATCAATTGCAACTCAAGATTTGCGGATATAACCTGAATACACGAAAAACGTAATAATTAATACAATTCTACTTCATTTTCAAATATATCTCGGAGTATACTCTTCGAAACGTCAAAGGTTAAAAATTTTTAACTTTTTAAATTTAAGGTTAAAAATTTTTAACTTTTTAAATTTTAACACTTACTTTTGGTTAGTTTCTTGTCGAAATAAAATTAATTTTCTTCGTTGAATAATAGATTACAACGTGCATCTATTGAAACGAGACTCGACTTACCTATGGCATTGTAGAGCGGATCACCCGTGCTCGCGTCCCATGCTATTGTAGTTTCTCTTTGATTCGTAATGCCTACTGTAACGATCTCGTTGATCTCCATTCCAAGCACGTCGAATTTGCGAATTACCTCCTTGATGCAGGCTTTCACCGCGAAAAGGATCTCCTTGGGATCCTGCTCCATCCATCCTTCTTGTGGACTGATTTGCTCAATGTCGATCTGATGGGATGCGACCTCCGCAACGTGCTTTGCATTGAACACCTGCAAACGCAATTCTCATTTGAAACAGTGACTGTACAAGTATAGTTTTACTTCGTTTATTTCTTTTAAATCTTAAATCTTATATACTTTTCAAATTTTATTTTATTTTGTTTCTTACAATAGATCGGAAGTGTGAGAATAATATTCACGATTGGAAATAATAATGCGTTACTTCTTATTCTAAAATGAAAGACGCAATTAATAATACACTTGTATTCTTGAATTTTCTTACTGTAACTGAAGACTTCAGAAGTCCGTATCTTACGGAAATCTGAAGAGTTTATTGTTATTAGCTGTTCTTAATTATAGTCATAATCGTAGTTTATGTTTATTGCCTCGTATAAACAATAATTAGAACACAGCCAAGCGTCCTTGTAGTCATGCTCCTTGTAGCTAAACTACAACTAATTATACGCATCATTAATAACATCTTTCCGTTTTCGATTGCTTATCGCGCTAGTAATCGCGAAATTATGACGAACATTCCAACGAATTTCAGTAAACATTTCGAAACATGGAAAATTATGATAGCGATAACGCGATAACAATATCCGGACAACCGTCTCTAGATAATCTTACCACAAAGCGAACAGTTCGCGTACCAACGTCAATGACGCCAACCAAAGGTCCTATTTTCTTCACCGTGTTTGACATTGTGTCTGAAAAGAAAAATGCATACCGCCGTCATTTAATATCTAAACAAGTAAGAGTCGTGCGAAGAATTAACGATGCTTTTATAGGCACATGACCGAACAACTGTGCCAAGATCTTAAGAAAATATTCGGCACATCGACATAAACTCAAGAAAGAGAGAGAATGTATGAAATAAAAAATACCAGTGCCTAGACATGTATTTAACTCTGGACACATTCTTATTAATTTGATCTTTAAATACAAATATTTAAACAGTCAGTATAGAGAATATGTGTATGCATTTATTAAATATGTCCTATAATGAAAGTTTAAATATTGATTGTAAAAGCATTTATTAAATATGTCCTATGATGAAAGTTTAAATATTGATTGTGATTAAATAATGATTGTAAAAACAATAAGAATGTTTATAAGTTCATTTTTCTTTTATTCCGAATATTTATAAGTATTTTTCTTTTATTCCGTATGCTATTACATTGTAACATGTTACGAGATAAGACTGAATAATTTACAAGGATACCGATCTATTTTTTTTTTAATTATGACCTGAAATTTTAATCCCATTGGCCAAAGAGTTACTATAATAGATGTGATCTACATTCTATCGCGAGTTCGATTCCATGTTCCGAGCTCAATTCGGCGCGTTCTATCGAGTCGAAGTTGCAAACATACTTTTTCCTCTGAATTCGCGCGTACCTCGAAATATAAAGTTTAATGTTTCAGTTCCATCTGCGAAAGGGAGAGAAAGAAAAAGAAAGAGAGAAAGAGGCACACACAGAGTGATTCGACTCGTCCTTTTCACATATCACACATGTCCCACTCATTCTTACGTCCGCTGTGTTTTCACGATCTCGTCGAATTCGACGAACTTCTTGGTCGCACAGTGAGATGCATCGCGTAGCAACCAACGTATCGCAACCAACGTGCCAAGCTTTCTTAAAACGGTTTACGCCGAACATGCCAAGAACCCCATTCGTTTCTCGGGAGGGCTTACCGTCCCCCCTTCTCCTTTTCTCGACGTCTCACATTTACGAAATAACTCGCGATAACGCAACACACGTAATACATGTTATCGCCAATTTCGCTTTCATTCGACAGCTAATTACGGCCTCGCTAAAAGCGAGGTGTATCATTATTGCCCCTTGATATTTCGCCGCAGATGATTTCATGTCATGCAAATGACGTTGGTCTCGAGGCCGAAATTTTTCGGCGGTCAAGTTGGATCTTGTGTCGCAACTTGACGTCGCTAAATCAAATTGTCACGACCAGCGAGACGAGTTGTGATCAAATAAATAAAAAATAATAAATAAAAACAATAAATAAACAATAAATAAAAAAAACTAGTCAGTATGTCTCATACAGACATAGAAAAAAGAATTTAAACTCCATCATTAAAACTATATTGTAGTATTATAGTATTTAATCTCCATCATTAAAACTATATTATAGTATTATAGTATTTAATCTCCATCATTAAAACTATATTATAGTATATCACTAACTAATATATACTCTATATCACTTAAAACTGATATATTTAAATTAACAATCATTACTATAATCTATAGATATAGCTTCCGGAATGGAGCCGTGTCTCGAATCAGCGATGTGCCGACGTTTCGCAAACGTTGCAGTTTGCATCATCTGAGAGCTGAGAACTTAGATACTGTATCAGACACGGCTCCATTCCGGAAGCTATACCTATAGATTGTATCAATGGCCGTGAAAGCCTCAAATCTAATCATTACTATATATCATTACTATATATCATTACTATATATCATTACTATATATCATTACTATATATCATTACTATATATTACTATAAGCAATTTTTGTAGAATAAGAATATATTTTTCTTTGTATGCTGAATCACACACACATATAAAATATATTGATGCAAATAACTTATCTTTTGACATGATGTAATCTCATTTTAAGATTTACACGAAAATATTTTCTTCAAAAAAAGAATGTTCTTTTTTTCTATACATGGATTAATTTTAAATATTAAAAGAAAAGAGGATATCTTCTCTATTTCGAGCGGGATATGTAGAAATGTATTATCTTCGTGCGTTCATCGATACACACCGTGTCTTTTTCGATCATTAACAGAGATCAATAGTTACCTTTGGCCACAATTAAACGGATAATACGATATCTCGCATTTATCGGGAAATGTAGCTCATAACTTTATCTTTTCTATGCTCCTCCTCCTGCTTCGCCGTACTTATCATCGTTTACGTAACATCTTCACAGAAATCGAACTTCCGCTACCTTTTCAACGAAACGAAGAGCAGCAGTCTCCGTCGCGATGCAGGATACCATCAAACGTGATATTAAGCGTTACGAGGAGAGCCGGCATTATGCAACGAAATAGCAACGATAATACGATTTTTGGATAATACGAAATGGATCTTATTACGAACACGCCGTTGGAGAGTCTTGAATGAGCGCGGCGCTCGTTTCCACGTCATCATATCAATATGAGTGAGCGACTACGGTTTCTAGAATCTCTAAGTTTTTTTCTCTCAAAAGCTTAAAAAACGGCCTAGTCGATAACCGACACAACGATAATGACATTGTCGTTAAAGAATCGCCTTATAAATAGAAACAGAAAATATGCGATAGCGTCCAAGTGACTCGAAGATGACGAAAAGCATGATCGATAAGTGAGCTTTTACAGTCATTTTCTCGTCACTTTCACGTCATCATGCTTCTCTATTCTATTTGGAAAGGTCATTGGAGGTGGGGGGGGGGGAGAATCTCCCCTCCGCCGTCAACTAGTAACGTGATCTCTCTCTTTGAGATATGAATATCAAGGCGATTTTTGGAAACAGACCCTTCTTTAACTTATGCTCTATACGTTGCGTAGACATAATCAGTTGACATCGTCTCAGACAACACGAGTCGCTTGCCAACTAAATGATGTCAGGCGCATCTCATGATGATACACGCGCTCGTTTGCCGCCTTTGTCATGCGCAATATCGCGAATCCTCGGCTTGACTTTTACGACGCGCGGACGCTTAGACGCTAATATTTATATTGTAATCTAGCTCTCTTCAATAAGGATACTGTATGCACTTGTCTCTGTTCTCTCTCTCTCTCTCTCTCTCTCTCTCTCTCTCTCTCTCTCTCTCTCT